ATGTGCCTTTTTCATCTAAGTTTCCTCCTAATCACATTCCAAAACATGTCTTCCTGTAGATCTACTTACTCCTAAGATCTGTTTAAACTAGTCACACTTCTGACTGGATGGGCTAGGGAAAGAAGCACCTCTTAGATTCCTTAATAAGATTCAGAGATTGGCACATCTGCTGGTATATTGATGGTGCACTGGCTAGGGAGAAAATTAACTTAACTTGACTCTGGTTTCATACTATTTATTTATTTAAGAGAGGGAAAAGGAAAGAGAGTCCATGCTCAGAGTGGAGCCTGATGAGGGGCTGGGTCTCATGACCCTGAGATTATGACCTGAGACAAAATCAAACGTCTGCTTAACTGACTGAGCCCCTGGTGCCCCTGGTTTCATACTCTTTTAACTATAATTCCTATTTTCTGGTTTTGTTTCTCTTTCTCTTTTCTATTTTTTTAAAGATTTTATTTATTTGAGAGTGGAGGAGAGAGAGAGAGAGAGAGAGAGAGAGAGAGAGAGAGTGTGTGTGTGTGTGTGAGAGAGAGAGAGAGAGAGAGAGCGCATGAGAGCAGGGGGAGGGAGAAGCAGACTTGCCGCTAAGCAGGGAGCTCGACTTGGGACTTGATCCCAGGACACCAAGATCATGACCGGAGCCAAAGGCAGATGCTTAACTGACTGAGCCACCCGAGTGCCCCTCACTTTTCTATTTTTAAAAACAGTTCTCCCCACCTGCAAATAATCATCCACCTATTCTAGGAGGTAGAAATTGAGTGTTCTCATAACCAGCCATGAGTCAGTGACAACCTTTTACTCTTGTTGTAAATAGAAACATAGACTCTGTCCCTGCCTGTAATTCATAGGCTGCCTCTCCAGCATTTTCTACTACAGCGAAGGAATGTGCAAGGCTTGAGTCAGCAGTCAGCTGCCATGGGACAAAACATGTGGGATATTGTTCATTGGCAGAAAAGCACCAGTGCTCTGGAAAGCTGGCATCTCCTCTTCCTCTTCCCTCCTTGGATTCGTCACTTCCCTTTTCCCTTCCTTCCATACCTTGGCTTTTTAGTCCCCAGGATTTTTGGCACCTTCCGGCCAGGTTTCCTGGTCTCTAGGTTCCTGTAATTATGAATACTGATTTTTCCCAGGATACTAGGATGTTTGGCACACAGGAATGCTCCAGGAGAGGCCAGGAGGAGCCCAGGATCTTAGTTTGACCTTCAGGAATGAGGGAAATGAGGGCAATAACAGGAATGGTCCTTCTGCAGTTCTCCCCAGTGCTCTCAGAATGAATCAGAAAGCCAGATTCCCCTTGCTAAATGACACAGTCCCAGTCCAGCAGAGTTACAGAATAATACTGTAGCACTTGAGAGTGTCTTCCTGATGTGGTCATTTGGCTTGCAAAGTAGGAAAAGTGAGGCAGCCCAGGGGAATTCATCTTGTGTACTCTTACCTTGGGTGCCTGTCGCATTGTTCCAGGAACCAACTTACCTCTGTTTATCTGTTGTCATTAGTGACCTGCAGGTTGAAATCCCTTAGACTGGGCATTTAATACTTGACCACTGCTTGGAGGCAGATTCTTTGCTGTTGTCTGAGAGCTGTGGCTAAAACCTGTTAATGTGAAAGTCAGCAGAAGGATTGGGGGGCCAGTTATTGATGAAAGTGTTCATCTCTGGTGGGGTTTGATTTGGAAATGCTCTGTGGTGGTTCATAGCTCTGTGGAAGTATTTCACACAGTGGGTTACAGCCAACCAAGAGGGTGTTAGCCTACAAAGCAGAATTTTTCTTTGAAAATAAATGCCCAAGACATTTAGGGAGGTGTAAGCATAAAACAGGTATTATGACAGGGAAAAGGCTTTTAGAGATAATGTTGCAGGGTTGTTGTTATTGTTTTTAAGATTTTATTTATTTGAGGTAGAGAGAGCAAGGGCGTGTGCAAGCAGGGGGAGGGACAGTGGGAGAAGGAGAGTCCCAAGCAGACTCCACACTCAGTGCAGAGCCCAACTAGAGGCTCAGTCTCACAACCCTGAGCTGAAACCAAGAGTCAGACACTTAACCAACTGAGCCACTCAGGTGCCCCACAGTTGCAGGATTTTTAATGTGTTGGTTTCAGCAAGAACCTCCTGGTTCCAAGTTTCCAAACCCTGGCAAGGAGTGGAAGGTGACTGCTATTTAAGAACAAAAAGAAATCATTTTCTTCTTTGACAAGAGGCAGAGAAATCAGACCCAGGTGTATTCACAGTTTTCCAAACATTATGACTCTGGTGGAGTCAAAGTCGACTATGAACACAAGTCAGGCATGCAGGGTCAGGATTGCAGAATGCTGTCTGCTTGCCAAAAAAGCAAAGCCACTGAAATCCACACAAGGAAGGCAAGAGACAATCACTCTGGGACTTTTGTTTCTAGTTATCCGTTGTTACCTGTCACCCTTCTGCCTTTGGATAAACACATGTGTTTTTTTTCCGCCCCTACAAGACATCTCTTGATTATATACCATTTCTAAGATAAGCCTTGGCAAATGGGAAAAAAAGTGGACTCTTTTTTAGGAATTTTACAATATTCCTCTTGCTGCCTCCTACTTCCTAGAATAAGCTTTTATTTTGGGGGAAACTGGAGGTCTATTCCAGTTAATTCCATTTCTTGATAGACTCTTGGCCATGTGACGACTATTGAGACAAGCTGTGGGGTTTTTTTAAAGCAGTGTATTTTTTATATCCAGACCCAGGAGAGACTGTTGAGTAAGTATATATCTGAGATGAGAAGCCATGTCAGTATGTTCCAGGTGAAGAGTTACCATCTTCAACTCGACCTCCACAGTGTATGAAGAGTGCTATGTCTGTTGATGTAATGGGAAAATGTTGGTTCTTTGTGTATGGCTATTACTTTCTCCCATGAAGCTTAAGACAGGTCACCTATAGATTTGGTTTGGCCTTACGGTGTCATGGTGAGGTGTAGAGAGATGCAGGATGTTACTTCTACTTCACACAGGAGGATTCTCTTGCACAGACACTTAGCCAGTGAAAGAGCTTCAGGACAGAACCTGGGTCTCTTCTATGTCAATCTAGAGCTTGGGGCCTTCTTTTGAGAATTGATTTTATCAGCACATACAGCTTGATGGCTCCCAGTATTCTTGGGTTGGTTCACTACATAGTGAGTCACTTCTTATTTCTGCAGCCCTCCTAACCACCCTCGATCAACACCTCCTTCCTCTGTTTCCTCCCATCTCCAAGAGTAAGTCCTCTTAAAGGTGAAGTTTCAGTGCAGTCCCGTTTGTCACACTAGTAGCAAATTGGTGACTAGAACACGGGAAGTGAGTACTATGACCATCAGGATTTTGTCAGCACTAAACTCTGAGAACTTCAGAATCAGAAGAGGAGTTTAGAGACCATCCAGTGTCACCTTCTTGTCTTACAAGAGGGAAAATGAAGGCCTGGTGAGGCAGAATGACTTGTCCAGGCTCATGTCACCAATATCTGGCTCACAGATGGGGGTGGAGTCTCAGAGCCTTGCAAGTGCTTATTTTCTTGTTCTGACCTGCTTTGCTATTCTTACTATGCCTTAGTGTTCACTTTCAGTCCTTTGCCTACTAACTCCCAATAATAGTTCTAAGTAGTGAGGATACATGAAACATGGTACAAAAATGATGAAACAGACCCAAGGGAGTGAGTACATTTAAGAAGCATGTAAGGCACTTTGTCCCATCTTAAAGCTTCTATCCAGCACATATAGGATGGTAGAAGTACAGATGTTTTTGATAAGTGGAAGGTGTAGACATTATCATTACTGTCAAATATGTTTGTAGGCAAAATGAGATGGCTATAAAATCTTCCTACCCTGCCGTACATCACATGCAGGAGCAAGACTTTTTCAGTCCTTTAAATCCCTACTTACTTTGATACTTCTGGACTTTGTGATTTCTTAGACTGCTGTGACACTGCCCTTTGGTTCTCTTCAGACCTCTCTGCACTGTGCCTCACAATCTTTTTAGAGGAGCTCATCTTTCTCTACCAATTCCTTATAAGTTGATGAGTCTCAGATCTCATCCAGGGCCCATGGCTCTCTCTTCCCATGGACTCTCCTTGTGTGACTATACCACTTTTGAAGGTTCAGCTACCACCTGCATGCTAATGACTCTCAAATCTGGGCCTAGGTCCCTAGCTACTCCCCTGAGCTTCAAATACATGCCTGACTGCCTGGTGAGCACCTCTGTTAAGGCAGCTCAAATGTAACAAGCCAAAAGGGAATTCACTATGCTCTCCTCAGTTCCTCTATTTTGATTCGTTGGCTTGGTGTCACCATTTATTCAGTTGCCTAAGTTGGAAACCTGAGAATTATTCTTGAGCTTTTCCTATCTGTAAGAGTCACTCACAAGCCTTCGTATTTTCTTTCCTTTCCCATTTTCTACACTTCTTCGCTTTCTGGCTAACACTGATTTCCCCTGGAAGACTTAGCTGTCACCTTTCAGAGGTTTATCTTCAACGAGGACCCGCTATGATTAGATAATCATCCTCTGTGTCCCCAAATTCCTTGTGCCGCGCTCTCTAATGACACTTACCAGACTATGTTTAACATTCTGTTCATCAGCCTGCCTCACACACTAAACTGTAAGATTCTTTTTTTTTTTTTTTTTAATTTATGATAGTCACACAGAGAGAGAGAGAGAGAGGCATAGACATAGGCAGAGGGAGAAGCAGGCTCCATGCACTGAGAGCCCGACGTGGGATTCGATCCGGGGTCTCCAGGATCGCGCCCTGGGCCAAAGGCAGGCGCTAAACCGCTGCGCCATCCAGGGATCCCTAAACTGTAAGATTCTTGAAAGCAAACACTGTTTTACTCATTTTTCCATCCCCAGTGTCACAGATAGTTCCTGACTGTAGAAGGTATAGGATATACATTTGTTGAATGAATGACTATGACACTTCGGAACTCCATTTGAAAAGGAGTTATATCTCCTAGGAAATATTTGTAGGTAGAAATTTGGATTTGCTAACCATTCCCCTCTCTTTTATTTTTGCTAGATTAATGTGACAGAATCAGGTGGATCAACAGCCATCTCACTGCCCCCTTTGTTGGGGGTTGCTGAGAGTTGATGAAGCATGGAGGACAGTAAGAATGAGACGGTGAATCATGCTCACGTCCTCTTTGACCGGTTTGTGCAGGCCACCACCTGCAAGGGGACCCTCAGGGCTTTCCAAGAGCTCTGTGACCACCTCGAACTGAAGCCTAAGGACTACCGCTCCTTTTATCACAAGCTCAAGTCCAAGCTTAACTACTGGAAAGCCAAAGCTCTGTGGGCAAAGTTGGACAAGCGGGGCAGCCACAAAGACTACAAAAAGGGAAAAGCCTGCACTAACACCAAGGTAAGGATTTGGCTTACCCCAGGCCTTGGGGTCACTGACCTAAGGATTTTTTTTTAAAATTTTTTAAATTTTTTTTTAATTTATGATAGTCACACACAGAGAGAGAGAGAGAGAGAGAGAGAGAGAGAGAGAGAGAGGCAGAGACATAGGCAGAGGGAGAAGCAGGCTCCATGCACCGTTAGCCCGACATGGGATTCGATCCCGCGTCTCCAGGATCGCGCCCTGAGCCAAAGGCAGGTGCCAAACCACCGCGCCACCCAGGGATCCCTGACCTAAGGATTTAACCAGAAAAGAAAAGATTATGAGTAAAGGTAGGCCGGAGAAGGGATTATGTAAAGGTATAATGCATGAGAACTAGGCAGAGTCTAGCTGAGACCCAGGATAGAAAGTCAAACTCGGTGGGTCCATCACCTGTGTTCAGTCAAGTGTTACATGCCCCAGACCCTGTTCTTATTTCATGTGTTCACATTTGAACAGGGTTTCAGCTATTTAAGAACAACCCTGAAGACAAGTGGCAAGGAACTTTCTCCTCCCTGAGGCTCTATTTTGAATCTCACACTGTTAGGCGGGTGCAGGTGGCTTAGCAAAGAAGTAGCCATGCCTTGTTAGCATCCTATCTGAACATGGCTTCATAACATCTGGCATGTCATCTCTATAAAGTAATCACTCCATACTCAGTGACTAATAAGGTCTAGATAATATTTGCTAACTTGAGCATTTGCCTCTAGCTTCAGACCTCTCTTTTCATTCATGTTCCAGGGGTTTGTTTTGATAAGCAAGGGCCTTGTGAGCCAAAATATTCTTTTGCTTTTTTCACAATCTAGAGAAATACAGTTTTCATGAAACAGGTGAGATATTCAGTCACCTGTGCAGGGGCAAGTATGAGGAAGTGGAGAAGGAACAAAATATATATCCTGCTCTCCTCCTTATGTGAAAATACTTTCAGTGAGAAGTTTGGAAAAAGCGACCAGAGAAACAAAGTTGGAGATGACTTCATGACTAGATCATTAATGTCCTTTCATGAGCTTTAATTTGCCCTGTGTGGAGACCTAGAGACCCTTCCCCCGTGGATTTGCCTCTGGGTAGATATTCATCAGCAAAATTTAAGAAATTCAAAGGCATGACTCTTATGAGTGAGTTGTGGTTGTTTATTACTTTTTTATAAGCTTTTATTTATTCATGAGAGACACAGAGAGAGGCAGAGACACAGGAAGAGGGAGAAGCAGGCTCCCTGCAGGGAGCCCAATGTGCGACTGGATCCCTGGACCAGGATCATACCCTGAGCTGAAGGCAGATAGTCAACCACTGAGCCACCCAGGCATCCACTTCTGGTGTTTTTTGTTGTTGTTGTTTTGTTTTTATCAATAATAAAAGGAATTCAAAGCCAAAACCTTGCATGTTTTTCTTTCCTCTGTGCACAGAGTACAAGTTAGGTGTCCATTCTCACTTTTAGTACTTCTCTAAAATATGGGTCTTTAAGATCATTTCCCTCAACTTTCAGTCTAAAGATGATGATTTTAGAATTCTTTTCAAAAAAAAAAAAAAACAAACAAAAAAAAAAGAATTCTTTTCATCACATAAAACTTTGGCTCTTGAAAGTTGCCTTCTAGGAATCCTTGATTGGTAGACTCATTTCAGGACTCTTAATATTGCCTGAATTATGTGTTTAATAATCTGTATCTTCTTGGACAGAAATCTGCTTGACTTAGAAACCTTTCAAAAGGTCCTCTCCTATTAATAAAAGATGACATGATTTTCAAATCTTATGTTGAAATGATGGTCACTTCAATAGATTGCAGATCTACAAGGTGAACGTGTGCTGGGTTTATGTCCAGCACTAACAGTTAAGAGTCTTCTGTATCCATAACAATCACTAATTTTTCTCTCAAGCCATTGCAGGTGCTCTTCTATGACCCAGATGGGTCTGAAGATTTCTTGGGAGAATAGCCCTACTTGGGGGCTTTAGGTAATGAGGGTTTATAAGATCATGAAACTGTTATTGAAATGTGAGCTCTCCTAAGAGATACTGCCTTTGCCCTGAAAGCAGCTGTGTTTTTCAGTGTCTTATCATTGGAGCTGGCCCCTGTGGTCTCCGTACAGCCATTGACTTATCCTTGTTGGGAGCTAAGGTAGTTGTTATTGAGAAACGAGATGCCTTCTCCCGCAACAACGTCTTGCATCTCTGGCCATTCACCATACATGATCTGCGAGGTCTGGGTGCCAAGAAGTTCTATGGCAAGTTCTGTGCTGGAGCTATTGACCATATCAGTAAGTAAAATCAGTCCTCCTGTAGGATCTCACCCCTGCCCTCTACCCACTTGTTCAGTAGAAAGAGGAAGATTATTCAAGGAATTCATACTCAATAGCTCAATTTGTTCTAACATAATTAATATCTAATGTATAGAAAGCATGCTGTGCTTGGAGTCAAAATACCTGTGACATGATTATCATCTAGGACTTTTTTTTTCTTTCTTTCTTTCTTTCTTTCTTTCTTTCTTTCTTTCTTTCTTTCTTTCTTTCTTTTTCTTTTTTTTAAGATTTCATTTATTTACTCAGGAGACACACACACACACACACACACACACACACACACACACACACAGAGGCAGAGACATAGGCAGAGGGAGAAGCAGGCTCCATGCAGGGAGCCTGATGTGGGGCTTGATGATTCGATCCCAGGACCTGGGGATCACAACCTGAGCCGAAGGCAGACGCTCAATCACTGAGCCACCCAGGCACCCCCATCACCTGGGAATCTTAACTGCAAGTGTTATTTCCTATGAAATGAGTTTAACTTAAGGATTTCTAAAGTTAGGCCTTGAACTCTTCCTGAGCACTGGCAGTGGGTGGGATGGGCATTGGGGCCAGGCCAAGAAACACTACCAATTTGAGCCTTGACCCTCTGATGGTTCTTAGTCAAGTGGAAGAAGCAAAAAGCATGAGGCTATCTCTAATGTGATATGATAGATACTCTACTAGTATAAGAACAAAATGCTATGGGGACAGTCCTGGGGAAAGCACAGCTTGAGAAGCAGCCTCCTAGTTTGATCACAAATGGCAAGTCAGTAATGAGACTCATTTGGCTAGGTGATTCTCATAAGGTCTATAGCCTGGATAACTCTAGATATATTTTTGTCATCTCCAAGCTCAGCTTAGGGTATGCTTTTCTGAGATCCTATAGAGTAAATACAAGTTAATGCAGATAGTCTTTTCATGATTGTTAAGTGGCCTCTCTGAAAAAGTGATTCAGAACAGACATCATGAAGTTTGAGTCTTGTTTATTGGTCATCGTTAATGATTCCAGGAAAGTCTTATCGAGGAACTTTTGTTCTGAGCTCCTCCAGATGTGTCCTGCAGATATATCAAACTGCCTAACCATTGCTGGTTGAAGTGGTTGTGCCAATTTATCAAGCATTGGCCAACGGCTGCCACATTCCACTGGCAGAGGAAGCCCTCTGCCCATCTGTTGGGCTATAATATGTAAAGCATTTTGGAATCCATTTGTCTGCAAATATTAAATGTGTGCTAGAATGGGATTTAATGAACCTTTAGGAGTGTGACTCAGAAGGGTGGTGGTTGTGGTAAGCTGCGGAAAAGAACCGAGATGACTTAGATGAGGATTTGCATGCACCAGATTAGTCAGAGGCTGCAGGTGAGATTGGTTTTAAAAGAGGACCAAAGGTCATTGGATTTGTCTGGATTTGTCTGCCTTATGTGAGAGTTGTCTTGGAGCTGAGAGTGTCCTACATTAGGGACTAGATTTTTATCACCATAAGCCTGGGGCTGCTACCATATCTGACAGTTGGTAGTCACTCATTGGACATGGAATAAGTAAATCTCTCTGTGATGATGAGAAGGATTTTCCATCATTATGAGCCTCGGTTTCTGTACCTGTAGACCAGTGGTGGGAGGGACAATAGTAAGAGACTTAGGTTAAGGTTTCCCTTTCTCACTTCATGAAGATCAGGGAGGTGATAGGATGAAAGGAAGATGCTGTTGGAATCTCAGGAAGTAGTGCAGCCCCTTTGTATTAAACGGGAAAACCCACCTGTGGGGGCACAGCTTTAGCCTTTTATTGTAAGTACCATGTCCTTGTCAGGATTGTAGATTCCACTATATGAGAGTGGCTCTGACTGAATCAAGGGGAGATGGAAAGAGTCTCCTGTTGGCCACAATCTCTGTTGTCTCAGAGCTTTTGGTTGTTTTGAACACCTAACCTAAGAGGTGGGAGTGGCCTTGCACATCTCTCTAGAATATCTCTTGCACCAAATTGCATTTGCCCTTAAAAAAGAAAGAAAGACGCTGTGGACCATGGCTTGGAAAATGTCTCCAACTACAGGAGACTTTGAGAATCTGGAGAATGTGTGAGTGGGCAGGTGAGAAGCTGGGTAGTAATTGCTATCTAGGCCTCCCTTCTTGGTTATGTCCTCACTAGTATCATCTTCTTGTTCCCCCAGGTATCCGTCAGCTTCAACTAATACTTTTGAAAGTAGCCCTGATCCTAGGCATTGAGATCCATGTCAATGTGGAATTCCAAGGTCTTGTACAGCCTCCCGAGGACCAAGAAAATGAACGTGAGTTGGAGTGGACAAATGAAGGGAGGGTAAGAGGGCCTGGTCTGGGTGAGGGGAGATGAAATCAAGGGAGAGAACTACAAGAAGCTGTGGGTGGTTCTCAGAACTAGTTAAAGAAGCTGCTTCAATTATATAGCCTCTATCTTCTGAGGAACTCTTGACTCAGTGAAGGAGGCTTTTGACATAGTATTAGACGTCGTAAACACGACATGACAAATCATGTCATGGGGACATTCTCTTGTGAGCCTTCTTCAAGGCTTTTCTTTTTCCTGTGTTTTGTACCCCATGCCTTTACTCCTAGTATTTTTAGTTTGAGGTTTTGTGCAGTTTGTATCTAAAAGAGTCTTAAGTGCGTATGATCTGGATGATGACCTTCATTTTGACTTGGTCCACAGGGATAGGTTGGCGGGCACTGGTCCACCCCAAAACCCATCCTGTGTCAGAATATGAATTTGAAGTGATCATCGGAGGGGATGGCCGTAGGAACACCTTGGAAGGTATTGATTCCTGCTCCTTTGCCTGGTTCGAAGCCCAGTGAAGGGTGACCCTCCCCCAACATTGGGGGAGGGTTTCTATCATCAATTCACATTCCTAAGAATCTGCATATGTGTGCTGTCTATTCTAACTGAATGGCAGACCCAACCTTCCACTAGCCAGTTGGTACTTGGGCTACTTCTTACAGGGCACTCGTTAGGGCACTAGGAAATAAGCTGTACTTTAATTGGTTGACACTATGGGATTTATATCTAAGGTTAGTAACCTGATGGCTTCTTGTTCTTTCTTTCATTTGTTCTTTCTTTCTGTGGAATCCCTTGTACTGAGAACTATTCTGGACAGTTAGAGTTCAGATTGTTAGTGTGTGGGAGCTTTTATTTCTTTCCTGAATTCTTATATTTTTGGACAGGCAAACATCTTATTTTCAGATAGAGAAGAATTGCCCTAAAATTTTCCCACTGATTCCCATGCCACATGTTCCCTAATGTCTTCATCAACACCCCTTCTTGTTTGAAGTGTGGTCTTCCTTCTTCTCTAGCAAACTCTGACTACCTTTGAAAATTTCTTTCCTTCCAGGATTTCGCCGGAAAGAATTTCGTGGCAAACTGGCCATAGCCATTACAGCAAATTTTATTAACCGAAATACAACAGCAGAAGCCAAAGTGGAAGAAATCAGTGGTGTGGCTTTTATATTCAACCAAAAATTTTTCCAGGAACTAAAGGAAGCCACAGGTTGGTATAGTTGCCTCCAAAGCAACAAGGATAGAAATTTAAATAATTACTTATGATTTTTCTCTCAGGGGGTTTGGTAGAGTGGGTGGTCATTGACATTATTGCTGTGTTTGCCCCTCTGTTCTTTTTTCACTCCTATACGTTGTCTTTTTTTTAGTGCTTTCCTTATCACTGTCTCCTCTAGCGTTCTTGGTCCTCCTTACAGTGACAGGGCTGCTCGGGGCTTAGTTTTATTTATTTGTTTGTTTTTAAGGATTCATTCTGCCTTTTACCAGCTCTTCTTCAACCATGTCCCCTATGCTATGGCTCTGAATGATGGTGCTTAATGCAGTAAACTCTTGATTGGTAGGTCTCAGCTTCTCTAGAACCTGACTTTAGATACGGAGTATACGGGATCCCTGGGTGGCGCAGCGGTTTGGTGCCTGCCTTTGGCTCGGGGCGCGATCCTGGAGATCTGGGATCGAGTCCCATATCGGGCTCCCGGTGCATGGAGCGTGCTTCTCCCTCTGCCTGTGTCTCTGCCTCTCTCTCTCTCTCTCTGTGACTATCATAAATAAATAAATTTTAAAAAAAAAAGATACGGAGTATACAATCTTCTTGTGCTCCAGTTTGGGCATGAAGTAAACCATGTGCTAAAATAGGAATGAGATTGTGGTATGATAGCTTTTGAAACAATTGACTTATTTAGCTGCAGTAAGAATGTACAGCAAATTTCAGTTCTGTTTTCTAGAACATGTTTTTTTTTCCATTATGTCTATTTTTTTAGATTAATTGAATGAAAAGTCAGTAGTTCACGCTCTGCTTCCAAGCATCTAATTGTCCTCTTAAGAGCAGAGGAGATTATCCCAGTTGCCTTGATGACTATCAAAGAGGTTTAACCTGAGAACTAACCCTGACCTCTTACTAGAAGTTAACCTTTCTTTTTCTTCCAGTCTTTATATATCTGCTTATTATTGATCATAGTTTTTAGGATAACTTAGGGTAACAAGTAAATTACAGAGCAGTGCAGGTATAAACATAGCTCCCTGCTCATGAACTGAATTAGCAAGGAGTGAGAACCTGGGCTTAGACATCTCTATTTTCACTTTCTCCGCCTGGAGTTTGACAGTGCTGGTCTCTGTGGACACATGTAAACATTTGGCTGCCCTAATGTACCTTCATTTCAGCAAGCCCGCATGTGACAGATTTGTCTTCTGGTTGCAGGTATTGACTTGGAGAATATCGTCTACTACAAAGATGACACACACTATTTTGTTATGACAGCCAAAAAGCAGAGTTTGCTCGACAAAGGGGTGATACTGCATGTGAGTAATGGATTTCTCTCCAGCCTCTTCTTATGTGGTACTAGTTATTATGACCACCTAAGGGAAAGAATTTTATTGTCTGATGAGTTTTTCCTGCAAAGGAATAAAAATGGGCATCGAACTCATCTCCTGAGAACATGTACTCCTCTAATATTTTCTGGTTTAACTTCTTTTTAAAATCTTTTGTTATGGAAGTTTTCAAATGTAAACAAAAGTAGAGAAAATCATATAATGAACTCCCATGTGCCCATTTTCTTGTTTTAACAATTATCAACACGTGGCCATTATTATTTTAGTAGTACCCACCCCCCACTCCTGCCATTGGATTGTTCTAAAGCAAATCTTAGATATCAGTTGTCTCTAATACTCAATTCAATTTTAGGTGATTTGGTTTGTGGTTATAGTAATTCCACATATGACTGATTAATTAACTGGTTAATAGGTTGTCTTTTGGGAGAAGGTGGTAGGGGGAAGGGAGTTTCACCTAGAAACCTGAAACTGGTTCTGGCTTTACTGCAGGTATGTCTATCAGAAGTCTAGGAATGCTGGTTGGATCAGGCTATATTTAGACCTTTTCAGGACCTAACAATATTGAAAGGTCTGGCTCAGCATTTTATCCAGGTGGATAATTGTATGACATTCCAAGAGACGATGAACAGAATGTGAAATCAAAGAACCACATGATAGGTGGTTCTTTAAGGAGAGTCTCTTAAGCCTTATTTAGTCTTTAGTCTGAATCGGAATTACTCTTCCCGTGTGATGAGATGGAGAGAAGAAGCATCAGATGTGCTGGTTCAGGCCTGTACAGTTCTTACCACAGACTCGTGGCTGAATTTCAGGATGCCTTTTCTCTCTGCAGGACTGAGTTATACTGTTGCCCTCTCTGAGAGCAGTGCTGGGGGCAGGCCAGTGAGCATGTGCCTGCAGCACAGCCTCTTCCCATTCATGGAACTCATGTCTGTTTCTCGGCCTTGTGCCTTTATGTGTACAAGGAGAAATAGGACAGAGCAGTTTGTACAGCACATTCTACCAAAAGCATAAGCAAGATGTACTCAGTTGGATGCTTTATCAATAAGAAATAGCCAGTAAACCCGGTGGTGTGCTTTGGGACTAAGTTAAGACAAATCTGCTATCTTAGGCAGAACAGAACAGTGCTTATCAGTTGAAATTAATGTTTTATTGTGCTTCACAGTTATTGCTTTGTTTTTTATTTTATTTTTTACAAAACTGAAAGTTTGTGGCAGCCTTGTACTGGTCAAGTCTATTGGTGCCATTTTCCAACAGCATTTATTCATTTTGTGTCTCTGTGTCATACTTTGGTAATTCTTGTAGCATTTCAGACTACAGCATAGTATAAATGTTAACTTATATGTACTAGGGAACCAAAATCCATTTGACTTGCCATATTCCAACATTCACTTGATTATGGTGGTCTGGAACTGAACCTGCAGTATCTCCAAGGCATGGCTATATGGCGGGACAATCTAGGATGCCAAGACCTGATTTGCTTTTACTTTTGATTTTTTTTTTTTTTTTTTTTTTTGAAGGCAGGTGCCCTGTTTCTATGTGTGCTGCTAAAGACAAACCCAGTTGTGGTTATTCAGTGTTGAACAAATACTGTTTCAAGGACCAGCTTAAGTATTTGTGTTTTGACTACTAACATCTTGTAATGGTAGCTGAAAGTACCATCAGAAACACTTAGAAACAAACCTTAGGCCCCACTTTAGGAGAATAAAGATGTGGTTCAGTTAGCCAGGAATCTCCAGAACAGAAAAGGAGTTTTTCAGGCCTGTATATAGAATATCCTTTTTCCTCTCAGCATTGTTTTCTTTGTTGGTGGGTTTCTATGAAGTCTTTCAGAATCTTATGAATTATTCTGAAAACCTCTGTTTCATTTTCAATATATTCTTCCCAGCCCCCTGGATTGTGGTTGCTCCCACCTCGCATCTTTTTGGCACTGGAGATTGTGGGTACTTCCTTTGGGTTTGATGAATTATACAATGCCGAGCATTTCTGGTGGTCCTACTTGCCAAAAGCTATTTGCTACCCAGAAGATAACGATCGCCAATAATAACATAAATTATAAAATACGTTTTCAGTTTAGAAAGTACCATCACATAAATTATTTTATGTGGTATTCAAAACAACTCCATGAGATGGATTAGGCAAGATCAAAGAAATATGACTTGCTCCAAGTAAGTGGAAACACCAGGCGGCAAAGCCTGTGTTCTTTTAGAAACAGCCTCCTCCATGGGGCATCTGGATGGCTCAGTTAGTTGAGCATTGATTTTGGCTCAGGTTATGATCTCAGGGTCACCCAGGGTCGTCGGGCTCCATGCTCAGCAGGGAGTCTGCTTGGGATTCTCTCTCCCTCTTTCTTCCCCCCTCCATGCTCATTTGCATGTTCTCTCTCTCTCTCTCTCTCTCTCCTCTCTCTCTCTCCTCTCTCTCTCTCTCTCTCTCTCTCTCTCTCTCATTCTCAAATAAGTAAATCTTTTTTAAAAGTGGGGTGTGCTTAGTGGCTCAGTGGGTTAAGTGTCTGCCTTCAGCTTCAGGTAGTGATCTGAAGGTCCTGGGATCGAGCTCTGCATCTGGCTTCCTGCTCATCAGCTCAGCTGGGAGCCTGCTTCTCCCTCTTCCTCTACCCTCCCCATCATGTGCACTCTTTCTCTCAAATAAGTAAATAAATAAATCTTTTTTAGAAAAATAAATAATTTAAAGAAATAGCCTCCCCCTTTTCTCTGTAATTTGGTGTAAAAGACTTATTTTGGAATATGAAATCACTGCTGGAAGGAGGTAAAGACTATGAGACTAGCTGATATCTGACCTGTGTAGTGTGGCTCTGGTGAGGCTGTTCCTTCAACCTTCTCTCTCTGGAGACAGGACTATGCCGACACAGAGCTCTTGCTTTCCCGGGAAAACGTGGACCAAGAGGCTCTGCTCAACTATGCCAGGGAGGCGGCCGACTTCTCCACTCAGCAGCAGCTGCCATCTCTGGATTTTGCCATCAATCACTATGGGCAGCCTGATGTGGCCATGTTTGACTTCACCTGTATGTACGCCTCTGAGAACGCTGCCCTGGTGCGGGAGCAGAATGGACACCAGTTACTAGTGGCCCTGGTAGGGGACAGCCTCCTGGAGGTGAGTAGTAAGGACGGCAGTGGTTTGTAGTCAGAGCAATAGTAAGGGAGCAATAGTGATTAGGAACAAACGTGAATATACCGGGTTGTCGAGTGAGTGAGTATACCAGGTTGTTGAGTGAGTATCCACATCCACAACACTGATATACCAGTAAGTAGGGAAGTTTCTAAGTATAGATAGAAGCTCTGCAGCTTTTGTGATCTGCTCCTCTACCAGTTTATGAAGTGGGAAAGCCCAGTATCTGAGCAGTTACCAAAAAGTACCATCAACAGCAAACTCTTTGTTTCTTAGTTTAGTTTCTCACTTTTTTTTTTTTTTTTTTTTTAGTTTCTCACTTTTAAAGGTAATTTATTTTTATTCCTTGTTTTCTCTCTCTTTCATAGCCTTTTTGGCCAATGGGAACAGGAATAGCCCGGGGGTTTCTGGCTGCTATGGACTCAGCCTGGATGGTACGAAGTTGGTCTCTTGGAACAAGCCCCTTGGAAGTCTTGGCCGAGAGGTAATGGAAAGCAGCCAGGGGTCCCTTCCATGAGAAAACTAGGAATGATGAGTGGTTTGTTCCTCAGGCAGAGTACAGATTTTCTTCCTTCAATCTCTCTCTCTCTCTCTCTTCCTTTCTTAATTAAAGATGTTTTTGCATTTAAGAGAAGAAAGGCAAGATATTTATAAAATCATAGATATGTAAAGATTATCTAATTTATGTGCTCTTCTTTTCTTTCTTTCCAAATTTAATTTGTCACTGAGAATGGCATCTGAATCTTTGAATTCCATTAAAGGACAGTATCTGGTTCCTTTATGACAGTCACATGAACAAGTATATAAACCTACTACATTAAATTTTCTTGTCCTTCAAGCAGAAAGATTTATACTAATGAAATCAGTGTAGTAGCAGGGGACATAGGAATATAAGAAAAGAAAGAAAAAGTGATTTTGAATTCAAAAGAAAATCCCAAGCTGCTTGTAAACATTTCTCAAATACCAAATGTCATATGTTGAAGCAGATCATTGCAAAAGAGGTAAGAATCTTAGGATTTGTTTGTTAATAAAGAACAAATGCCTTAACTGGAAGGACTAGAGAAATAAAAGATTTCCTGGGTACAACTGGTGGTTGATAACATTTAAGTCCGCTACCTAAGGTACTCGGCAAGTTTGGTGGCAGGTTGTTTTTTCATCCGTGATTTTCTTAAAAATTATAAACTGGCCTACTTGAAAAAACAAAACAGTAAATCAGTTGCCTTTTAAATTAGAATCAGGCTTTGTATCCCAGCCCACCACAGTGTACTTGCTTTTTTTACTAGTATTTAACCAGTCCAGGGCCTGTGGAATCACTGGCATGGTACAAATGGGAGCAAGGGCTGACATAGGTTGGAGGAAAGTGGTCAAGGATGAGGATTTGTCATATCCTTCAGATTATTTGGGACACTGTCAAAAAAATGTGAATATTATCAAAGGAGAGGAAGATGTGTATGGTGCTTGTCACTGCTCTGAGTAAATAGTTGTATGTTCTTGCAGGGAAAGCATTTATAGGTTGCTGCCTCAGACTACCCCTGAGAATGTGAGTAAAAACTTCAGCCAATACAGCATAGACCCTGTCACCAGATATCCCAATATTAATATCAACTTCCTCCGCCCAAGCCAGGTAAGAGCCAGTTACCTACATCTGGGCCCATTTTCAGGACAGATCAGACCTTTGAAACATTGAAATGTGTCTATTAGCACCGTATACACGTACTTCTTTCCTAATCCAAGTAGATGTTCCCTGGAACGGCGAAAATAGATAGCACTTTCCATCAACAGATTGAGCAACTCAGAGTGGAAGTTGTTGAATAACTTGCCAGAAGGTCATATGTGACAAAAACAATGGATTGAGGATTTTATCCAGTGCTTCCTAATTCAGGTTGCATGTTGTAGGGGAGAGAACACCTGTTCATTATCTGGGAAATGTGACTTGCACTTGCATTATTGCCACCAATCACTTGGGACTTGGTTGTGTCATCCCATCTTCTCTGAACCTGTTTCTTCATTTATGAAGTGGAGATAATAGTCCTGCTATTCATAGGACCACTGTGAGGAGATTGTACACTTGAAGAAATTTTGAAAGTTAGGACACTCTGCAAGTAAGATATTGTTGGTCATTTTTGTTGTGCTACTAAGTTACTTTTCATAGTGTCTAACGCCTTGTCATTGAGAATGACATTTGACAAAGCTCAATAATCCCAAAGAGTCCAACAATTTTTGGAAAGCAACCCATTCAACATATTTGCCTATGTACTTGTGTAATTCTTTATTCACTTTCTACCTGAGGTTTATGGGTTTAAGCCCTCTATATACTTACATATAAGGGGGCCGGTGAGTCTTGCTGTCAGGGGGCAGTATGAATAGTCCAGTAATGACTATCAGAGGGTCCTACTTGGCCAAGTAGCTAGTTTTTAGCACAACTTTTTACACTAATATGTATTGGTTTATATGTAACCCCACCACATTCCAGAAAGAATTTGAAGGTCATTGTCATAACTTTTTTCTGAACTTTGCCTAGCCTACTTTCTTAGTCTTTCATTTTGCTCTCAGGTGGGAACTTATTTTGTGGTGTTTGATTTTACAACTTAACTTTCTACCAGGTGCGCCATTTATACAATACTGGAGAAACAAGAGATATTCATCTGGAAATGGAGAACCTGGTGAACTCCCGAACTACCCCAAAGTTGACTCGCAATGGTAAGTTCTGGTAATGACCTTTTAAATGCAAGTAACCTACTCAAAGAAGTCCATACTTACTCATTGAGCTGTTAGTGTGCACAGTAATGTGTAAGGCCGCGGTTCTCAGCTGGAGCCGATTTTGCCTCCAGGGGCACATGTGGTAGTGTTTGGAGACATTTTGATTGTCAGGACCAGGGGAGGGTGCTGAGTGCACAAATCAGCTCCCCCAACATAGAATTACTCAGCCAGAAATGTCAGTAATGTCAAGGCAGAACCCTCAATCTAAGGTTTTAGGAGCATATAAGGAGAAATCAGATACAAGTGCTGTTAGAGGGATGCCTGGGTGCCTCAGCAGTTGAGCGTCTGCCTTCGGCCCAGGGTGTGATCCTGGAGTCCCAGGGTCAGGTCCCACATCAGGCTCCCTGCATGGAGCCTACTTCTTCCTCTGCCTGTGTCTCTGCCTCTGTCTCTCTGTGTCTCTCATGAATAAATAAATAAAATCTTTAAAAAAAATGCTGTTAGAAAGTGAGTGCACACATACAAGCTAAGGTTCTGGGGGAGGCTTTATGAAAAAGCAGTGGTATTTTAGATGAGTACTACATTGTCAAGATACAGTTATAGAGATAAAGGCCATTCCATATTTTGTGTGCCTTGAAGGGCCCCTGTAGGTATTTTTAAAAGGAGAACAACATGAATATACCTGGATAGCTACATGTAAGATGGGATGGAGAAGGGAAATCCCAGAGGCAGGACCACTAGTTAGAAATACCCTGTAGTAGTCAGGCTAACGGTGGTGAAGGCCTGAACAGGATACTGATGTTAAGGTTGGACAAGGTAATGTAGCATGGTGAGAACAACTGACATTGCGGCCCAGTCCAGGCATTGCCATTTGTGAAGTATGAGGGCCATAATAGGTTATTTTGCATGTGTGAACTTTGGTCTCCTTGTCTGTGAAATGGGCATACTTTGCACTACAGTCATGAGGATTCTGTGGCATATAGAGTATTTATTACAATGTCTGGTATATGGTGGGTGATCACAAATGGCAGCCATTTTGTCATTATTAATTGTCAATGTCATTGTCATTATTAAACATGGGAAAGAGTATATTAAAGAGCCAGATTCAATAGGCATCGGTAGTTTGGTTGCACGAGTCAAGAGATGGTTGCAGATGGTGCTGCCATCAGTTTGGACAAGGAATGAGAGGATGAGAAGGTTTGAATCTATTTTTTTGTCTTTATGTTTAAAGATTTTCTTTCTTTATTTGACAGAGAGAGATAGTACAAGCAGGAGGAGCGGCAGAGAGAGGGAGAAGCAGGTTCCCTGCCAAGTGAGGACCCTGATGTGGGCCTGATCCGAGGATACTGGAATCATGACCTGAGGGCCAAAAATAGACACTTAACCGATTGAGTCTCCCAGGCTCCCTGATTTGAGTCTGTTTTGAGTTTGACATGTTATTAGAATATCAAGGTAGATTTTACAACCAACAAGCAGTTAGGGACATCTTTATATTTCTCCTCTCTGGTGTCATCTACTTGAGAGCAGACAGTATCACCTTTGTCACTGTCATTTTAGAGCCTGGAATATTGAAGTTGCCCAGTACATATTGGATTGTTGGACATAGAGACTGGGGAGACATCTGAATAAAGTAAATTTCTTATTTATGATGATAACACCAGGAGTGTTTCTCTGTGTAGTTTTAGAATACATTTTCACTGAAAGACTTAAATGAAACAGGATTTTTATGATATGCAGTTTTTATCTTTTATGTTCCCAAATCACTAAATGACTTCCTACAGGGTTAGATATATCCAGCTGCCATAGGTAAGAGAACAGACATTCTTGAACACAAATAGGAGTTCACAGATTCTTCTAAATACTCCATGTCAGGGGATCCCTGGGTGGCGCAGCGGTTTGGCGCCTGCCTTTGGCCCAGGGCACGATCCTGGAGACCCAGGATTGAATCCCACGTCGGGCTCCCGGTGCATGGAGCCTGCTTCTCCCTCCGCCTATGTCTCTGCCTCTTTCTCTCTCTCTCTCTCTGTGTGACTATCATAAATAAATAAAAATTTAAAAAATAATAATAAATGCTCCATATCAGAGCTCCTCTGATGCAGTTAAGAAAAATGGACTTTTTTTTTCTTATTCCTATTTTTTCTTTTTTAATATTTTATATAAATTCAATTTGCCAGGATGCTTGGGTGACACAGTGTTTGAGCATCTGCCTTTGGCTTAAGGCATGATCCCAGGGTCCCACATTGAGCTCCCCACAGAGAGCCTGCTTCTCCCTCTGCCTATGTCTCTGATTCTTTCTGTGTGTCTCTCATGAATAAATGAATAAAATCTTAAAAATAAATTCAATTTGCCAGCATACTCAGTTACCCCATGCCCCACCCTCTTCCCCTTCTGCAACCCTTTCTTTGTTTCCCAGAGTTAGGAGTCTCTCATGGTTTGATTTTTTTTCCCCCACTCAGTTCCCCTCCTTTCCCTATGGTCCCTTGCACTGTTTCTTATATTCCATGTATGAGTGAAACCATATGATGATTGTCCTTCTCCAGTTGACTTACTTCACTCAGCATAATACCCTCCAGTTCCATCCATGTCGAAGCAGATGGTGGGTATTTGTCATTTCTAATGACTGAGTAATATTCCATTGTATACATAAACCACATCTTTATCCATTCATCTGTCAAAGGACATCATGGCTCCTTCCACAGTTTGGCTATTGTGGACATTGCTGCTGTAAACATCGGGGTGCAGCTGTCCCAGCGTTTCACTGCATCTGTATCTTTGGGGTAAATCCCCAGCAGTGCAATTGCTGGGTCGTAGGGCAGGTCTATTTTTAACTCTTTGAGGAAGCTCCACACAGTTTTCCTGAGTGGCTGCACCAGTTCACATTCCCACCAACAGTGTAAGAGGGTTCCCTTTTCTCCGCATCCTCTCCAACATTTGTGGTTTCCTGCCTTGTTATTTTTCCCCATTCTCACTGGTGTGAGTTGGTATCTCATTGTGGTTTTGATTTGTATTTCCCTTGATGGCAAGTGATGCAGAATATTTTCTCATGTGCTTGTTGGCCATGTGTAGGTCTTCTTTGGTGAAATTCCTGTTCATGTCTTCTGCCCATTTCATGACTGGATTGTTTGTTTCTTGGGTGTTGAGTTTGATAAGTTCTTTATAGATCTTGGATACTGGCCCTTTATCTGATATGTCATTTGTAAATATCTTCTCCCATTCTGCAGGTTGTCTTTTAGTGTTGTTGACTGTTTCATTTGCTGTGCAGAAGCTTTTTATCCTGCTTAAGTCCCAATAGTTCATTTTTGCTTTTATTTCCCTTGCCTTCATAGATGTATCTTGCAAGAATTTACTGTGGCTAAGTTCAAAAAGGGTGTTGCCTGTGTTCTCCTCTAGGATTTTGATGGATTCTTGTCTCACATCTAGATCTTTCAACCATTTTGAGTTTATCTTTGTGTCTGGTCTAAGGGAGTGGTCCCATTTCATTCTTCTGCACATGGCTGTCCAATTTTCCCAACACCATTAGTTGAAGAGTCTGTCTTTTTCTCCTCTTGGATAGTCTTTTCTGTTTTGTTGAATATTAGTTGACCATAGAGTTGAGGGTACATCTCTGGGTTCTCTATTCTGTTCCCTTGATCTGTGTGTCTTTTTTGTGCCAGTACCACATTGTCTTGATCACAGCTTTGTGGTACAGCTTGAAATCCAGCATTGTGATGCCCCCAGCATTGGGTTTCTCTTTCAATATTCCTCTGGCTATTCGGAGTCTAAGTAAAATGGACCTTTAGAAAGGCCCTTCGCATTTTAGAAGACATAGCAGTGAACTGGAAAACATCCAAGCATATGTATTTATGTATTCATTTTCTCAAGATGTTATCATTTTTAATACAGAGTGCCCATCCTGGCCTGGGGGATTGTTCTGGTCTGGGGTCTTTGGCCTTGCCAATGTAATCCTACAGAGTTCCTTCACTTGGTAAATTGGCTCTATACATGGAACATGTAAGAGTGGGCTTTGCTTGCTATTGCTTTAATGTGTTGCTAAAGAGAATATATTCTTTTGTTTGGGAGGAGGGGAGATATATATATATATATATATATATATATATATATATATATATATTTTTTTTTTTTTTTTTAATTCAGTTAGCTAAAAGAATGGACTCTTTTTTGCTCTACTCCTCCTTACTTTGAAGGGAAGGAGCTTCCTCAGCTAGCTGCCAAATACCTCTCCAGGGAAGTCTTAGACCTTCTGGAAGTAAGGGTGACAGCTCAGTAGATGGCGCTCATCCATCTAAATCAGTATCCACAAGTGCTGTAGGGACACTGAGCTTTAGCAGGAGCAGATCCAGATCACCCCTCTTGTGACTTATTCTGTTAGAAGGGCTAGTTTTGACATCAGAGTCTGGGTAAATTTGTAGGTAGTTTCTTATCTACCTAAAATTCCACTATCATGATACCACTTACATAGCTATTTACTTTTTTTTTTTTTTAAGATTTTATCTATGTATTCATGAGACACAGGCAGAGGGAGAAGCAGGCTCATCACAGGGAGTCTGCTTTTTACTTTTGAAAAACCGTGACAATTATTTTGTTTTTACCTTTAGTAATTTTTCAGACTGGATATGTGTACTACAAAGAGGAAGGATCCTATGTCAATGCTACCAGGTGACCACACCTCTGATCATTTTTTTGTTGTTTCAGAGTCTGTAGCTCGTTCAAGCAAACTGCTGGGTTGGTGCCAAAGGCAGACAGATGGCTATGCAGGGGTAAATGTGACAGATCTCACTATGTCTTGGAAAAGTGGACTGGCCTTATGTGCGATCATCCATAGATACCGCCCTGATTTGATGTAAGTTGTGACAGCTTTCATTTTGTATTCTCTTAGGACCTCAGAGTAGTTTGCTATCTAATAGCCAAATTTTGTATTTTTTTTCTAGAATGAAATACACTGCAAGATACTTTTTCTAGAAGGCAGTGATTAATTTCATTATAATTATATTTAAAACTATGTGTCAAGCATCATATAGCTGAATCCAGCTGAGGTTTTAAAAATCACAGCGCTCAGAAAGTCAGAAACTAGTTTTAACGCCCACCTGGGCCCATTAACATTACACAAAGGAAAACTCTGTTCTTTGGCCCCAGGCTGAACTTTTCGCTTTGGCAGGAGGTCTCTCAGATGCTGTTGGTTATAAGGAAAAACTCACTAAAACATTTGGCTGGCTAAAGCAAATGTGTCACTACCAACAAAACAGAAAATAATGAATACTTACTGGATTTATCGTGGTTCTTTGGTATTCCCTGTTAAGAATTAGACTTTTTGCAAATATACTCTGCTCAAGCCCACAAGGTTCAGGCCTCTTTACCCACTTACATCAGTGATACCTCCTCTTTTGGCCATTGTTTATTCACCTAAATGCAGAATCATTGCAATAGGATGACCCCAGGTCAACTGCAGTGACCAGCACACTCAGATTTCCCCCATAGGCATTCATTACCATGGAAGCCAAACAAGAAGAAGCAGAGCCTGTTGAATTATTTTGGCTGCCTATCCTTTTATCATTAGGACCCAAATTTGTGCATTTGCTTTAATGATTGCTTAAGGAAACCTAAGAAACATAGTTCCTCTTTATATTAGGTTATAAATTAATGAGGCAAGAGGTAGTAGAAATAGTCTTATACAGTGTGGTTCAGGAATGGGAATTTCTGATTTGTTTGGATAAGGATAAGTGACCTCCAGTGCTCCTGTCCCTTAGCTAATGGAGAGGTTGGTAAATAGCAAGTGAAAGTAGGGCTTTTGCACCCCCACCAAGAAAGGACTTGAGAGGAAGAGGAAGGATGGTGATAAATGGCACTGGAATGCCTTAGAAGACCAAATGAATCCTCTCTCTTCCAAAGGGAAGGCAGTAAAGAAAAGGAGATGGAGGCTGAAGTAGCTGAAGGGAACCCAGCAGGTGAGGTGGAGAGTGGTAGAGGGAGGGAACACACTCCTGTTTGAATGGGCAAAGGCCACCTACTGAAGGTCTAGGGAAGTTTTTTTTTGTTTTTTTTGGGGAAGTTTTGTGTAGGTAGTGAGGAGGTAATTTGACACTGTTTGGAATACAATGACTTCATTCAGGATGAGGCCTCCATGGTTTAATAGGCTTCTTGCATAGAGAAAAGGCATTTAGAAAAATGAAAAACTTGCTATGGAGTCAGTAGTACGTTAACACAAAATAAGGCCTGCCTAATATCCGAAATCACCTCTGAAAAAAGAATGCTATCAGTCTTGACTTGATTGAATGATAAGAAGCCTGAGCCAAATGCTATCAGTCTTGACTTGATTGAATGATAAGAAGCCTGAGCCCAGGGGGAAATGGTTGTTAATCTAAATACTTGGGAAAACTCTAGAACATTAGCAGTAGAAAAATCCTTTGAGGAAGATTTTAGAATTTCCCTGAGAAGGCTGAATTAGATTTACCAAAGCTGATTTAGTGCATCAACAGTTCGTCTGTGATGACACAGCAAGTGATAGTCCTAGGCCTTTAGAAGCAGTCTGATCCAGATAGGATACTTATCATTACTGAGCACTAGTTTAATAGGTACAGATCACATACAAGGTACAAGGGAACACTTTTTTTTTTAAGTTTTTATTTATTTATTCATGACAGACACACAGAGAAAGAGGCACAGACACGGCAGAGGGAGAAGCAGGCTCCACGCAGGGAGCCTGATGTGGGACTCGATCCCAGGTCTCCAGGATCACACTCCGGGCTGAAGGCGGCGCTAAACCGCTGGGCCACCAGGGCTGCCCCAAGGGAACATGTATTAAAGATATTTAGTTCCTAGTCTTGAGCTTACCTTTTAGTAAGAAATTTATGTTACCGGGAATAATGAGAATAGTTCTTCAACTTTTCCCCTCTTTTTTCCTTTCTGGGTATATCTTTAATCATTTCTTCTTGTGAATGATATGCATTTTCTTAGTGAAAGGAAGGAGACTAAACTGTGAGATGAACAGGTTGGCTCTCAGATTGTGGTGAGACACCTGCACCTGGATTTTAGCTGAAAGATTAAGAAATGAGTCCATCGATACTGTGTTTTCTGGGGTGAGGACAAGCATCCCTTCTTGATATGTTTTTCTCATTCTGTTTCTTAGAGATTTTGATTCTTTGGATGAGCAAAATGTGGAGAAGAATAACCAGCTGGCCTTTGATATTGCCGAGAAGGAACTGGGCATCTCTCCCATCATGACAGGCAAAGAAATGGCCTCGGTGGGGGAGCCTGACAAACTGTCTATGGTGATGTACCTGACTCAGTTCTACGAGATGTTCAAGGACTCAATCCCCTCCAGCGGTAAGGGCTGGCAGGCACTGGTATGGAAGGCCTCCATTTCTTGTCTGTTGGTGCCTGGCCTTTCTTTCTTTCCCTCTCACCATGTCCTACATCAGTACTTGCAAAAGCAAACCTGCTCTTACTTAATCTGTTGGTTGTCTGTTGGAAACCTGGTTGGCTGTGCAGGTAAGTCCCTGAAACTTTGCTCCGTTATTTTTTCCTTCTCTACTAGTATGTTCTCAGCCATTCTTTCTTTTCCCAAATCTTTCTCACTAAATCTATAAACATGCAAAGATCGTTTCTATGCAAAATGTTTTCCTTGACTCTACTACTTCCTCACACCCTTTTTATCAGAACCAACCTTTTTTGAAAAAGTGGTTTGTACTTAAGGCCTCCACCTCCTAAGGCCTAAAGTTTGTAACATGTTGCAGCCGGCTTCTGTTTTCACTGCTCTGCCAAAGCTGTTCTCCGCAGTCATGAAGAATCTCCACATCTGTATTTTCTCACTTTGCATCTCTCACGTACTTGGCTTTTCTACATTATTCAGCACTACGGAACTATGTCCTTTTTCTTGACAGTCTCTCTTCATTTTCTTTCTTCTGTAACCGTTCCTTATCTAGCTTCTCTCTCTTCGTCAACCTGTTAGTGTTTTTCAAAGTCTTTGGCCCTCTGCCTGCTGCTGCCTCAGTTTACCAGAGTGCACACACACACAAAAATATTCCTGTTGTCATTTATTGTCTGTTGGAGTAAATATAGTATAATGCTTTACAGTGTTGACCATGGTACCAAACTGGGTTCACTTCCCAGTGCTTCCACCTGTTTGACCTTAGACACATTACTAAATTTCCTCATGCCTCAGATTCCGTATCCATAAACTGGATTTTATGTACGTATAACATAAAACGTGATCTGCTAAGGAGAATGTTTGGCAAATAGAAGTACTTAATATCAGCAATATATTATTAGTTTCAGTTACTTTTAAAATTATTGTTACTAATAAAACGTTAGAATCCACAGAGTTTATGGCTCTACAATGTCTTCCAGCCCATGTACTCTTACAGATGTCCATGCCTTTTTCTGATCAGATGTGCACTTTTTACAATAGGAACCCAGAACTCTAACATCAATATACCTGTTTAGGGAGAGCCTTCCCTTTGCGTGCACCTAAGTACATGGGATCTACATAATCAAAGCCAGTGACCCTGAGCCATATACCTCTCCTCCCTTTCTCCCTCTGCCTGAAAATTTTTATCACAAAGGGAGGTTTTAGCAGTCTGCTGTAACTAACAACCATAGGCAAGTTCCAACTTTTGCAAAGCAAAAGTGGAGTTTTGTGACTGAAGTGGATTGGAAAAAAGAGTCGGTTCTATTAACATGGCTGGAAAAGAGAAAGCTCAGTATCCAGACCTTAGTTTATGTTTTCTTGGTGGAATTTCCTGCTGAGTTCCTCATGCTTTTGTCAGAACAGATGAACCTGTAGAGTTTTCTGAGGTTCTGTGAGCCACATGCAAGGAGAATAGTTCTGCTCAGTACTTTGAAGTCCCTTCCAGGGCTGTGCTCAGACACTGCTTCCCTTTCACAGATGCTCTGGACCTGAATGCTGAGGAGAAAGCAGTTCTTATAGCCAGCACCAAATCACCCATCTCCTTCCTCAGCAAACTTGGGCAGACCATCTCTCGGAAGCGTTCTCCTAAGGTAAATGGAAGAGGTTTTTGACCTGCTGCAAACCTGAAGATGAGGTATAGTGACAAGGATAATGCAGTCTCCCTCCTCTCTTGGTATAGGATAAAAAGGAAAAGGACTTGGATGGTGCTGGAAAGAGGAGAAAGACCAGTCAATCAGAAGAGGTAAGAATCATCTGGGATTTGCTAGAATGGTCATACCGAATTGCTCTTTTCTGGCTTAAATTAATTTCCAAATTGGTATTGCAAGACCTTTTCATATACAGTTTTTATGAGAATTTTTGTGGGCAGATGCTTTTCAGTGGGTTGTTGCCTTTGTTTAATGTTTTGGAGAGCATCCAAGGGATCACACACATGTGTACCAGTGCTTTCCTCTCTTTAGAATTATGCCTTTGGCTGAGGGTGGTGGCTTTCCTGACGAATGACCACACTAGCCCAAGTCCAAGTACCTCTTTATACTGCCCCGTGCACAAAGTCTTGATGACTGCATCTTGAGATTAGAACCCTGAAGAGAGCTATTAGGCTTAACCTAAAGCAAAAGTTACCAGCCGCCATGCCAAGCACTGGCTGCACTACTCCTTTGAGGGAAGGGTTTTGGCAGGGGGCTTCTCTAACGGAGCCCACCGGTTCACCTTTCATCAGGAGGAAGCACCCCGGGGCTACAGAGGAGGAAGGCCCACACTGGTGAGCACTCTGACAGACAGGAGGATGGATGTGGCCCTCGGCAATCAGAACAAAGTAAAGTACATGGCAACCCAGCTGCTGGCCAAATTTGAAGAGAATGCACCCCCCCAGTCCACTGGCATGAGGAGACAGGTAAGGCCCACTTTGTGTCTCACCCACCCACGCTGAGTCTGTCCACATAGGAAGGAGGGACCTTCTTAGTCAGATGAGTTGGGGTGGGATGTGTCTCAGCCAAGCCCTGGTGCCTCAAAGACTAACATCTGCTTCTCTCCTCGTCTGACTGTGGCAGAGAAAAGCATTTTATAAGCTCCTCCTCTGCTTTCAGCACTGCTTCATCCTCACCATTCAGGTCTGAGGTGTCTGTGGCAAAATTTCAGAAGGATTTTAAAGTTTTAGATCTATCTATACACGCTTATATGTTTGCATGCAGACATTTGAATTATAAAAGAGGTAGATGCTTACTGAGGAAAATGCTGGAGAGAATAATAAAGGCAATCAAGGCACCTCTAATTCTGCTAACATTTTGTTATATTTCTTTCTAGTCTTTTTTTCCAGTGCATCTTTGTTTTCATAGTTGAGGTCATTCATAATATATACTTTCTGTTCTGCTTTGTTCACATGACTTTGGGCATATTCCCTCGTTCCAAACTCCTCGGGCATCTTCCCATATGTATGTGTACCATGCTTTTTTTAACTCTTCTAGTGTTGAGTGTTTTCATTGTTGCTCATCTTTCATGATAAGGTACAGAGATGATAAATGTTCTTTTGATAAATCTTCTTTTGTGTGTTGTAGATGGTTCTCATAGGCTATCCTCGAACTAGAGTAAGAATGAGCTAATGAGCATTTTAAAGAAATCATTGTGGATACTAATCTGAGAGTCCTAGGTGGGGGCATTGACTTGAGATGTCTTTGTTAGATTTTTTTTTTCTTTGTTAGATCTCGTCTCTCCTCTTGCTTGTCTGAGAGTCATTGAGACTTCTAAGAGGAGGTGCTGAGATCTGGAGATTTACACAGAAAGTTTCTTGTAAAACTCCCTAATGACCTGAGAGAGCATCCAAGGGAAAGGGAGCCCATTCTTCTTATTCTTTTACTCTTTCTTCATCTCTTCTGTACATATCAGCCATTGTTCTAAGGACAAGGGGTGAGAGGGGGTTACTGACTTTGCTTGGAGTTTGGCCATAATTAACTTCTTCTCACATTTAGCCTTTCTTTGGTTATTAATTTTTACACCCCAATCATATGTATTATGGCTCATAGAGAGGAATAATAATATTCGTTGATAGACATCTGACATTGCCTGGCAGCTCTGGCAACCACAGGATCTGCTCCGTCTCAGGAGGTCTGGGAATGCTCCCCATGGGAGCAAGTTTGCCCCTAAGAGAAGGTTGTGTTCCTCATTTTGAGTAGAAAGAGTAGTTTTCCAGACCAGAATTAGTAGTTTAGGTTCAGAGCTTTGAGCTAGGAAAGAAGTTAGTGAAAATTACACCTTCTGATTACCTTGCTTTTTCCTAGTGCATTTGCTTTTGGTTTGGAGAGGGTGGAGTATTTTGTTTCTTTTGTAAATGTAACTTTCTAAGGATTAATTCTGTGTCTCTCACACACACTCCCAGCTCATAGATGTGTCTGTCTACCGTATCTTTTGTGTGTCTTCTCTTACCTTAATGTATTTTATTTTGTTTTGTCTCCATGTCCTGTCCCCCAACCATACTTGGCCTGTGTGTCACAGCCGACACAAGAGCGTGGGGTCAGCCAGCCGTCCTGCTGCCTACCTGAGCAGGGTCACCCTGCTCCCACCCCCCAGTGGAAACAGGTAAAGGAGCTGCCCAGGGACCAGAATGGGTGCTGCTTCCCTCTGCCTTCCACTCTGCTCATCCCTCTCAGCCAGCCTTGCTAAGGAATCCTAGCTCACAAGGACAGGTAGCTTCTGGACTCATTTGAGTAGTACCTCTGGGAAAAGTGTAACAGACAGTGCTGATTGTATTGCATGATTTGTTTAACTCCTTGGGATTTGAGAAATCAGTTAAAAGAGTAGGTGGTAATTTGGTGTTGAAACTAGCTGAAGCTACATGAGACATTGTTCAGGTACCTCAGCTTCTATGGTTTTTACCATTTTAACCTTTGTCCCAGGTTGGTGTTTTGCTTACATCTGTCCTTGTAACTAATGGAGGGAGAATCCTGAACTCAGCAAGTCTGAGAGTTGGGGCAGTGGAGCCTTTCATGTTAAATAGGAAAACATTAGCCAAGAAATTGTCTTGAACTATGATTTTTTGTTTCAGACCCTCGACAAAGATGATCATGGGCATTTTCTTGGTGGTTTGTCTCCATTTAAAATATTCCTTGAAAAAAACCTTTTTTATTTAAATTCATTTTGCCAACATAGAGTATAACACCCAGTGCTCATCACATTGTGTCCTCCATAGTGCCCATCACCCAGTTACTCCATCCCCCCACCAACCTCTCATGAAAATTTTCACTAAAGTTTTTACAGGATCTCCTAGAAAGCTGCTTTCTAGGCAGTATTGGATAGGACAGAAAGAAGTGGGTAGAGGGATGGCACCTGGTTGATTATAGGAAATCCATCAGGAGGATTGGGGCCTCTATTTTCTCCCAAGTCAGAGTTGAGCAAGTTTCTGCTCTCATGGGTGCAGCCTGGATTCTCTGCCTTGCAGTTTGGTATCATCTGGGACTAAGATTCTGAGAGGTCAGGTGAGCTGACCTTTGATTTCTTCTTGTACTGTAGAGTGCTAGCTATTGCTGGGAGGTGCTGGGGAGTGGCAAGTGGGTTTTATTTGAATCATATTCAGGGCAAAAGTTTCCTTTCTAACCTCTTTTAAATAAAACGCCATATTAAAAACAAAACAAAACAACAACAACAACAACAACAACAAAAACGCCACATTAAAGGCAGGGCTCATGAGGCTGAGATGGAAGCTCGGGAGCAATGTCCAGACTCCCAACAGAAGCTGAGCTGCTGCTTTCTCTGTGCTTGGAGGAGGTCTTGTGGAAGCCAGACAAACAAATAAAACTCATTGGAAAATCCATTTTCTTCCTTACCCTTTGCCTTGAAGTCTAGGTGGAATGTATGATTTGAAAGGTAATTTTTGGTTAAGGATATGCTAAAGGAGAAAGTGAACTCTAAACTAGATTCCCCAAACTCTTGATTTTGACAGTGTTCATAAAGGAGCAGTGGGGAAGGCAAGCCAGTTGTAACCCATGGAGAAGCTTGGACAGATGACTTTAAATGGCATGTGCCTGGAGCAGCTTTGGGTTGGCTTGTTGGGAGGTCTCAGGGGTACTAAGTGTGACCTAAAGAGTCTGGCTCAGCTACGGCCTCTGTCCCAGGGGAGACTGGCATGTCACTCATCACCCGACGGTGCTGTGCTAAAGGGGCATCGGGAGCTTGGTGTTGGTGGGCCTGCTTGTGTGTCCCATTTAGGAACAGCTGATGGCCTCTAACCTTGTGCAGGCCGCTATGTGGAGACATACAGCTAGGTTGTCCTCTGGGTAATTTGTGATCATAGTCAAAGAAGCAGAATATCACTCAGCTCTCCAGGCAGCAGAGTAGAGCCATTGAAGTCAAACCTGGGTTCTATGGAGTCGGCACCAGAGATTGCAGTTGGAAAGACTAGGTAGATCCTAGTAAGTGAAAAACCCCATGAACAATGAAAATCCTATTAGATCATTGTCACAGAGAGTTGGGAACTCTAAATTTTTTTCTTAAAGATTTTATTTATTTATTTATTTATTTATTTATTTATTTATTTATTTATTTATTTATTTATTCATGAGAGATAGAGAGAGAGAGAGAGAGAGAGAGAGAGAGAGAGGCAGAGACACAGGCAGAGGGAGAAGCAGGCTCCATGCAGGGAGCCTGAATGGGGCTTGATCCTGGGTCTCCAGGATCACGCCCCGGGCTGAAGGCAGCACTAAACCGCTAAGCCACCGGGGCTGCTTGGGAACTGTCAATTTATTTGACTGTGAAAGAACCATAGCTCACAGTTACATGTGTTATTTCCTCAACACTGAATCAGGGTTGGCATCGTGAGTCTTGGCCCTGTAAATTTATCTTCTCAAGGAACACTGACATGCAATGCCAGGTGCTCCAAAAACGTGGAGACCGAGGAACTCCGGCGGTGTGCTCCAGTGGCCTCTGCTTCTGAGTCATCCTGCTTGTGGCCTTCTTTATCTCCCTGTAGGAATGAGGGGCTTACCAGCAGTAGCTTATGTGAGTCATGTCTTGTTTTCCTTAAAGAGATTTGAATTGAGGCAGAGGGTGTGGCAAGCCCAGCTGTGATGGCTGAGTTGGCACAGGATCAGTTTTAACTTAGGTCATGGTATGGAAGAGGGAAAATGAGTAACAACTTTGCTTACCAGTGACTTCTCTTTGTTTACCTTCCTGTGTAAACACTTTGGCTCATCCCTCCCTCCCCTCCTGCCTTTTGATCTCAGAAGTTTGTCCAGCCAGGAGAGTCTGTGCATTAACCAGCCTTCCTTTGGAAGGAAATTGTCTTGTGTGGTTGGAACACACTGGCCCCACGCCCACCACAGCCTCTTCTCCCTCCCAGGTTTGACCTGTGTGCTGCCTCACATAGTCATCCTGGGCATAAGGACATGGAGGAGTCCTCTGGCCTAGCAATAAGTAATCGTTTCTTAAGTACCAAAGAGTTCTCTAAATCACAGATTCACAAGAAGGGAATCCGATGGACATGGGAAAAATGGGAAATAATCCATGGATATATATAGGGTATTTGATTAGTGACAGATGTACTTAGATTCTTGTATTCTGTTTCCTGTACCTCCTTGGTAGTTTTCCAGAACCTTATAAGTGTAATCAAGGGGGCTGAGCAGAGGGGAGCCATGGCAGGGTGTTGTCTGGGCTAGCCCTTGGGGAGAGGGCTGCTTTGCTGGTGGTGGGTGAGGTGACTGAGCCCTTGGGAGGCGGTCTCCACCCACCCCTCATGATGGTGGGCCTGTGTCCCTTTCTCTCTACCTATGTCCAAGCTCATTTCTCCTGTCCTCAGCGTTCCTGATAAAACCAACACAGACTATGTCCTTGATCCCTGCAATTTAGAAAATGTGACACTGCAAGTTCAGCTGCAGAGATGACCCCTGTGGTCTATACTTACCAAATAGAGCAAGGAGGACCTGGAGCCCCACAGTTGACCTCAACAAGCCGTCCACCCTGGCCATACAGTGACTGCTTGGAGGCTGGAGAGACATGGGAGGGATGGCTTTGGCCAATGCCCTTCAGTCCTTCCAGAACCAGCCTAAATGAGGCCCCTGTTTTACCAATGTTCTCTCTGTTTGTGTCTGTTGGTGTAAAAGCAACAGGAAAAGGAGCGTTCTCGGACCTGCCCCAAAAAAGTGATCACACTCTCTCCTCCCCTTACTCCACCTCCCTGTCGGGCACCTCGCAGCCAGCAGGTGATCTTCTCTGCATGCTCTGTGGTCCTTTCTGTCTTCCCACCTGCCTGTCTGCCTGCCTGCCTGTCTGCCTATGTAGCTGGCTAGAGTAGAGACCAAATCAGGATTACCTCTTCTTCAGAGATAACAATTAAAAATCGGAAGGACGAATTTGTGACAGAAGCAGCCTTATTGCTACAAATGAACAATTCGCAGTCAGACCCCAGGATAGCACATAATACATTTAAACCCTGGCTGGTTTAATCTAGTCCCACATCATAGGAAAACAACTATGCAAACACAGACTAAAACTGTATTTGTCACAGATAGATGCAAGGTCCAAAAGCCCTGGAGAGCAACACATTTCTTTAGAACCTCATTTAAAGCAGCCACTTTTTGTCTTGTTACCCAAGGAGATAAATTAAGAGGGGCTTTTTGGAAGCCTTTTATAGGGTCTCACTTTATGAGTTTTGTTCCTTCTGATTTTGAGAGCCCTGTCTCTTGCTGATCCAGCTTATGCCAGCAAACACCCATCCTTTCTGTCTACCCCTCTCACACTCCAGACAGATCATTTGAAAAATGCTTTATAGAACAGTTGCCCATAGATGTGATTAAAGAGGACAACAAGCATACTTACATATAATACATCTATAGGATATAAACTGACCTTTGTAGGATATCCCTATACAATAAAATACTAATTTTAAAGGCATGATCTATGGAAAGACATTTTCTCAGCTAAGGTAGCCTACTTAAAAGGTGACCCCTAGTAATGTGCCTGATGGCTAGAGACCCCCCCCCCCCAGTGTGCCTTGGTCTAAGAACTGAGCCATTGTAGATTTAGTGATTACACTTAGATCTGGGTGGGATTCTCAGTTCTTGTGTGTTATCTCAATCAGTTCTCACCATAACCGTACAAAGCAAGTACGGTTACCACCTCCGTTTTACAGATGAGAGGACTGAGGCCAAGGGTGGGAGGCCAAGTACTTTGTACAAGTTCACACAGTAAGTAATGCGCCCAGGACTTGAATCTGGATGGTATGACCTAAGCCCAAGCCCTGGCCTCATCCTGCCTGTGGAGACAGTATGCTCATGGGCCACCCATTGCAGGCTGTGGAGTAGTTTCTCCAGCAGCACATAGCCATAAGTTGAATCCTCAGCAGTCATGCAAAGAGTGGTAAGAGTAGCCTTCCCTTCCCCCATGTGGTTGCTGAGAGGGGCTTCCTCTGGTCAGTAGAGGCAGCCGTGTGTCTGTCTTCAGGATTTCCAGCCCTACTGCATACACATTCCTGTCTTTTGACTGAACATGCTTCCAGTAGTTGTCCACTTCTCCCTTTAACAATCAATGCTTTGGTCCAGTGTTCCTGTTCAGGGACCACTCCCCACCCTGGAGCTTCCTCTGGACTGTGGTTACAGCATTCGTTCCAGCCAGTTTCCATCTCCCCACCTTTCCTTTCTTATGGCTTGTTATGGAAAGCTTCACCCTCCTAATCGGCCTCTCCTATTAAGCCTTCCATTTAATAGCTCTGATCTTGTGCCACTTTGTGAAAGAAATAAGTTAGTTCCACTTTCATACTAACCGTAGTTCTCTATTTGTGTGGCTGACCTCACTGGAGGCCAGATGGACAGAGTGCTGCAGAAAGAGTTGTCCTGAGGTCATGGAATGTGATATAGATGGGATGGTGGTTACCTGGGGAGGGGATCTGCCAGGGGCAGGGGGATATGTGTTGAAATGAATTCTGAATTTCTGGCACTGTCACTTAGTAGGTCCACATAGAACATTTGGATGGAGCTTAAGTTTCTACTTTGTTGCCAACAGACGTACAGGGATCTTGATGCTGACAGCCGTGGCAAGCAGAGTCCCCACCATGAGAGGGTAAAAGCATGAACTGTGGCATGGGATGCTTGAGGGCCAAACAGACGGGGCACGCTGTGGTGGTGGGGCAGAGGGAAGGTGGGGATGGTCCCCGCTCCCCTTGCTTTGTGCACACTCTTGTCACCCAGCCAAGAGCAAAGATTCTTGCTGTTAACTGCGTTGGCCCGTGTAAATAGCATTCACAGGAGAGCATTAATCTGCTCAGCATTCAGATCAGTAAGTAGGTGGCATTTGTTTCTGTCTTTTGACATTCAGGGATCTTGAGGTAGAAACACTCTTACAGGTGTGGGGATTTTTCCAGTATGAAGAGAATGGAAAGGAAGGAAGGCAGTGACAAAGATGGCAGTACATAGTAAAAAGCTTTAGCTATTCTTTTCTGAAAAACTGAAGGGGGAAGTACTGATTACACCTGGCCATCATATAATTTGACAAATAGCAGAGATACCCATTTTTTAAAAACCTGCTTATTTTATGAAACTTTTTTGTTGTTACTGTTACCCTTAAACATAGCCCCTGAGTGGGTACAGCTTTGCAACAAGACTGAAGAATCATCTCTGTTACCTTCACGTGGGCCTTTTTCTTTATTTTTACCTCTCTTTCTGCTTTTGCTGAGAAATTTGGTCACAGCTAAGGAAGCTAGTGCTATCTCCTTAGGCCCCATCAGCATGTGAGAAGCGGGCGGTTTATGTGCTGCGGGGACCACACGCAGGTGGGTGCTGGGTCAGAGAGAAGAGACTGAGCTGAGATGGCAAGGGGGCATCCTTTTCCTCTCCTCATGCACAGCCTGGCTCTGCCGTCTCCTCTTCTGTCAAGACTGCTTCCTCCCACGAGCACCATGTGTGCCCAGCCTCTTTCTTCTTCCCAGGCTGTATTCCTCTCAGTAGGAAAACCAGGCACTTTCATTGAGGAGGGTAAGCCCTCCATTTCAGGGCATGCAGATCTGATGATTTTTAATGAAATGGTGCCTAAGCAAGGAACAGAGGGAAGTGTGATGAGTAAAAGGAGAGATAGGCAGAAGAAACTTTCGGACATCTAGAGCTGCAAGGCCCAGAAAGAAAGGTAGCATTTTGAGCTCAGAAAGCCAGAAGGTTTGCAGGGAGCTCTCTTTCATTTTCACAATGAGCTGCTTTCCAGGTCCTTCACTGCAGGGTTCCTGTCTGAAGACTTTTAAGGGTTACTGTTTATGTTCTCTTCTAGGATTTTCTCTCCACTAGTCCGTAATCTTGCCTGTGTACTCACCTGCTCCCTTACCTCCCACCCCCAGTCTTCCCGTTAGCTTCACTGCTTTGCCATCTCTGGAGGAGTAGCCTTCTGTCTTGTTTGTCTCTGGTGGGTGGTTCTCTTTTACAGAGATGTCCCCCTTGGGCCTGTGTTTCTGAGCCTGCCCCACATGCTGAGCTGAAGGCCAGTGCGCTGAGTGTCTGGAGCAGGGGTGGTTACACTGCACATCGCTACCCCTTAAAGATGTGAAGTTAGTGGGGGGCTGACCTGGGGGTGCAACAGATCTGCTTGGAGCTAGAGGGACAAAGGGCTTCTTTTACTATGACAGTACCTCTTCCCTCTACCCTGCAAATACTTCACCCTGAACCTGGTAGGAAGCTAAGGAGTTATTACTTGTCAGAGCTCTTAACCCCCTTCTCCCTCTCTGGGGGCTGGGCACTTCCTGGCTGCATGGGCCATGGAAGATCCCAGCTTCTTTTTGCTACACATGCTGCATGCAGTCTGCAGAGGACCTGGGACCTTTTCTCCTGATCATTGCTGGGATTTGGCTGGCTCCTTGGCAGGCAGAGTTTCTCTGAGGACTGGCAATAGGAAGAGACAAAGCCACATTTCTGACCTTTACGGAGGAGTTAAGCTTCACTCTAGATTTGCTATCTCTGTCATTTACTGTTTGTAAGGTGATAGAATCTCCTCCTGCCCAGGAGAGAAGTCTCAGCTGAAACCAGTGAGTAGCTCTGCAGAGTACAGAGAGTGTGTGTGTGAGAGAGCAGGACAGCACTGCTGCCCTCTGCCACCTCCTGGCTGGCAGCATGATCCATTTGGGGTAGATTGAGTAAAACTGCCAAACAAGAAAAGACCAGACTTTCAGAGGAGAGAGGCTCACAACTACAGTGACCAAGTTCCAGAGCGAGCTTCACTCTAAGCATGTGGCAAGAATGAGCGAAAAGCAAAATGGGAGCCTTAAGTGAGCCATTCATGCTTTTGAGAACTAAGAATATTTCTTTACTTCATTTTTTATTTAGATAAAGGTCTCAAACACCCAAATTCCTCGTATTCAGGTCAGTGTGTCAGTTTTTATTTAATGTTTCCTTTGATTTTTTTTCTCCATCTTGTATTTTGTAGCCAGAACCTGAACCTTCTCGTCGGTTTTTTGTTGACCAGTGGGAGCTTTCTCTTAGTCTCCGCTCCTCCAACCGCCCCGCCTCTCCCTCCTCTGACTCCCTCCGACAGGTAGCACAGTGTGGAAAATGGCAAAGCTCCTTCCTCTTCAGCCTTTCCTCAGTTCACCTGCACAAATGTCATGTGGCCCAGTGAGGTTGCAGAGCTCTTAACTTTGGCCTGTGTCTGTGGGAATCCGTGTGTGTGTGTGTGTGTGTGTGTGTGTGCGCGCGCGTGCACGCGCGTCTGGCATGTGAGGTCTGTAGGCATACACCAAAGTTACAGAGGCTGCTAGCTCTCATTGCATCAAATTCTGTCAACTAAGCCCACTTTTATTATGTTTCAACTACATAAATAATAATAAACTTGTTTCAGCCACTAGCTTTTTAAATTCCAAATGTCTTCATATTAATATGTATTACAAAATACGAATCATAATGTCATTAAATCTTTTAAATGGAGTGGTGAATACGCAGTATTCTGGGTGCCTCTTGAATTGTAATCATTTGAAGAATGAGCCCTGCTATTTCCTACAATGGAACTGATCCAGCTATAGAGTAGTTTAGAGAGCGATTGGCAGATCTTTACCATTTTTGTTTATGTTTGCTGTTCTTGAGCAATCTATGTGGTACGTGTGTGGAAGCATACGCATGTTTGGTGGCAAAAGTAGAAGTCCAACAATTGCTACATTTAGACTATTTCTTAAGAGTGGGGAGAAGGAAACCATCTGCTTTTCATGCCAGAAAAAATAGAACTTGAGTTTCCACCACTCTTGGGGGGATGCTTGTCAATATTACCACATTGCTGAGAACTGATGCCTTCACACATGGGCAGCCCTGGGCTCTGTTTGCTGAGGATGCTGGTTCCTGGTGGGAGGAAAGGGTCCTGGCTAAGCAGTGAGGACCTAGGGCTTGCTGGGCATCCCAGCCTCGTGTGTGACATCTGGCCTGCACTCTCACTTTCTGCAGAATAAAGTGTGATTTTCTGCACCCTAGGTGTTGGCTGTTACACGATCTGCTCTGCTCCGCCTGGTGTCTGTTCCAGGCGTAAGCTTCACTAATGTCTCTAATCTAAAGAAGGTTTAGATCTTGAGCCACTTGTTTTTCTCAACTACTAATGGGTATAAGCTGTGGAGTTAATGAGCAAATGGCACCAATCCTTGGAAGCCTCCTTATTTTGAATTGAAAAGTAGAATTGACTCCTCAGTTCCAGCTAAACCTCAAGGATTGTTTGCTCATTTGTACTTCTGGTATTCTAGCAGAGTTCACATGGAGTTAGCTCCACCCCCAGGGTACTTCTCTTGTTTGCCCAGCCCAGGGCATGCCATCACCCAGGCCAGAGATTCTCTTACACATGGCTTTGTGTGTTGTCCATTCAGACCATATCCCCAAGACAACTGCCCTGTTATGTTTCTCAGTTGGACTTAGAGTGAGGACTCCTCAAACTTGGCAGGCAGCTGTCTTAGTCCACATAGTTTATGAGAGGGGTATCACACACACTAAGTGTCCTGACTGTGGAGTCTCTAAAGGACTGCCAGCAGGACTTTGACCTCATTTCCCAAGGATAGGCTCAAAGCTAGGCTGCCTAGCAGGAAGGCTTACTATTGAAATTTGGTAGTTTCTTATTACTGCTTCAGCATTGCTAGAAGATTGAATTGGTTGGATTTTTTTTTCTTTTCATTTTTTCAACCTATGAAAAAATAATCTCTCCTGGCCTAAAAACAACATTCTGACTTCCCAAGAGTAAACTGAGCACCTTGTGTGCATGGCTACAGGCATTAGTCCCGGGAAGCCATATTGAAGATGCCCAGCCTAGTCTGGAAGGTTTTAGCCTGAATAGAATACGTAAATATCAATGGGGAAAATGGGCCAAGAAGGAGTTCTTCCAGGTAAAGCTCAGGAATATTTGACGCATATGCCTGGGGTTATAAGTGAACGTTTATAGGAGGAAAGTGATCATCACTAGCGATCCTTGCCCACGTGGAGACTCAGCCTTGCAGGAGTGAACTTGGTTTCTTTTTAAATGAGAGAATAACTTTCCAAGCCTTCCCCAGACCCAACTTGAAACATGCTGTTAATCTGGATGTCTGCCGTCTGGGTAGGACTTGTTCCTCTTGAATTCTTTATATGGAATTTGAGTCACTAGGATCTGGGCCCTTCTTCGTCTGTTCTATATTTGTATCCATCCTGTCTTCCCAGTTCCCTGAACTATATATTCCAAACAGATATAAAAGACTAAGTTCTCCTTTTCTGAATTTAATAATTCTGCAGCCGTTTTTCCCACCAATGCTAGTACGTCTGTATGGACATTGACACCTGTTTTCTTAACACCAAGGTTCCCTGCTTGTGGGCACTGTGTTAGCATGGTTTGCTGATGCACCTTGTATTCCTTGTATTCATTTTATACCTTTCAAAGATTTTTTCCCCTGTCTTCTTAATTTACTTATTTTTTTCCTTCTCATTTCCCTTCATTCTGGTCATTTTATACTCTCCAACCTATAGAAGTATATAAAGATGTACACGGGCGGAGTGAGCTCATTGGCTGAGCAGATAGCCAATCAGCTTCAAAGGAAAGAACAGCCCAAAACCCTTCTAGACAAGAAGGAACTGGTAAGAGATGTATTAAGGGCACTGTCTATCTAGATATAGCACAGCTGTGGTAAATAAACCTGGTTAATTCTAAGTAGCTTAGTAACATACATAGCCAATAGATGCCATGTGGTAGTGTTTTTGTTTGTTTTTTAGATTGTCTGAATTTTATAACTGAATTTCTAGGGACTGAATGGTTGTTTAGAATGTTGTGTGGAAAAGCATACTTAGTATCTCTGAAAGTGATTGCTTTAGAGTCCAGGGGACCCATATCTGTGTAGAACCATGTGAACCCTGAATAGATATTTTTTATGCTACCTTCAAAACAATTCTGTCAAACTAATTTAGTTTGATTGTTGTGAAATTCTGTAAAACCACCGGGGTTTCCTCTTGACTATTGATTAACATCGATTCAGAATCCAGCTCATGCTGATTGCTGTATAGAGGGCACACGTAACAGTCACTGCACTGGTGCCATTGTTTTTTAAGAGAGCAAGTAGCAAAGTGAGCCATCTTAGTCTGTCTCAAAGCAAAATCACTTAGTGAGGGCTAGTTTCACGTATAGTGAGGGTCGTGCACCTCCTGGAGGTAAGTCTGAAAAGTATTGCCCTGACATGCTTCCCACCCTCCCCCATTACAGGGCTCGATAAAGAAGGAGTTCCCACAGAACTTAGGAGGCAGCGACACGTGCTATTTCTGCCGGAAGCGGGTCTACGTGATGGAAAGGCTGAGTGCTGAGGGCAAGTTCTTCCATCGGAGCTGCTTCAAGTGCGAGTACTGCGCCACCACCCTGCGCCTCTCGGCCTATGCCTATGACATTGAGGACGGTGAGTCTATTTGCACTTGAGGCCATACTTAGAAACCGGACCTAGGGACACTGTTTTCCATGTGAGCTGATAGTAGGGCCTCTTACTGCGTTTCTATATATACATTTTTTTTCTGCCTCGCCTAACCCTTCCCATCCACCTCCCTCTACTCTTTGTTTTTCTCTGAGACTCTTATAAATATTTCCCTAAAGTCACCAGACTGTAGCATAGCATTACTCAGCACTCGTGGTAATGAGAATGGCATGTGTTTACCTAAATCACTTCCCTGGCTTCACAGATACTTGTTTCTTACCTCAGGGTGGGATCTTAAAATAAAATAAAAGGGACACAAAGAGGATGAGGCTTATTTTGTCTTTACTTTAGAGAAAGGGAAATCATGGGCCTTTAGAAGTCCTATCTCTTGCCACAAGTAAATGACAGCAAACTGAAACTAGATTTCATGCCCCCTGGGTTCTCAGACTTTTGCTTCTGGAGGATGACCAAATTATGCCCACCTCTTTGTAGCATCAGCATCTCTCTGATGAATGGAGAGCTCATTAGGGCAGTATTCTGGCCTTTGGTGACGTGTATTGTTTTTATGATAGAAAGACCTTAATGGAGCAGAAGGTGGAGCATTATGCAAATAGATGACAGAACCTGATAGACAGAGGCAGGCTGGCATGCCTACCATTTATTTGAAAACGCTTTAATTGAGAAAGTCACCAAAGACATAGATGATGACTGTACTCATTCCTGTGGAGTGCTGAAGGAACCTCATGAGAAGTTCAGTCTTACTGATTCAAAAGTAATGAAAAGACCTAGATTAATCGGAATTGTCACAGAGGTGGCGTTATGTACCCTCGTTTTGGATTCTCGGACCCAATTCCATTTTAGGAGTGGAGAGGGTCCCTTGCCCCCCTCATCTCCACAACATCAAGGAATTCTCTTGACACCAACAGGGTATATGAGAATTCAACTCAATTCTGACACTATCTACTCGACCCAGAGATACCATCAGATTCCACAGCTGAAGGGCTTAGGCCTGTAAGACTACCCCTCACCCCCCACTGTAGACACCAGCCACAACAAGCCCCAGGCTGTTCCTTGTGCTTCTGACCCACCAGATGCAGATTGGAGGTTCTGACTGTTTCTTCCTTGGGTTCTTTCATTTGCTAGAGCAGCTCACATAACTCAGGAAAGCACTTAGGTTTACCAGTTTACTAAAAAATATGATAAGAGCTACAAATCAACAGCCATGTGAAGAGATACCTAGCACAAGGTCTGGGGAAAGGGCATAGAGCTTCCATGAGATCTCTCTCCAGGGGCTCTGTTTACCTTGCATCTCTACATGTTCACCAACATGGGAGTTTCCCAAACCCCATCCTCTTGGGTTTTTATGGAGGCTTCATTGCAGACTCATGCTCCACTGAGTCATTGGCCATTGTTTGATTGAATCTCCAGCCCTCTCCCCTGGGGAGTTGGAGGGTACCTTCTAATCACACTGTTGGATCCCCTGGCAACCAGCCTCTGCCCTTGGGCAGGGTCTAACAGTCACCTTAATTACTACAACAAAAGACACCTTTATCTAGAGAACTCAAGGGTTTGGAGTGGAGTCAGGAACTGTGGACCTAGATCAAATATAAATGAGAAATATATTTGGTTTTCTGATACATATGTCTTATAAATCACAATATTGTATGTCCATGACCACACTGGTAGGTAATTTTTGACTGAGGAGATGGTAAAATCATATCACATAGGAGAGGGACACCATGTGGTTAGGAAATATTCACTTCAGTCATCCCAGCTCTACTAATAATGAATTAATAGGCAACTCTGTCAGAAGTAGCAACAAAGAAGCCCAAGTGATGAACTGAGAAACACTCTTGCTCTTAACCGTTATGGTACCTGCCTTTTGTAACTGTAGTAAAAAGCACCACCCGCTGAGGGAAGTTAAGACAGTTGTCTAGGAGCACCTGGGTGGCTCAGTAGTTGAGCGTCTGCTTTTGGCTCTGAGTGTGATTGCAGGATCCAGAATCGAATTCCACATCGGGCTTCTCCCAGGGAGCCTGCTTCTCCCTCTGCTTGTGTCTCTGCCTCTCTCTCTCTGTCTCTCATGAATAAATAAATAAAATCTTTTAAGGAAAAAAAAAAAAAGACAGTTGTCTAGGTAAAATAATATATATGTATTTTAAACAAAATTGCATTCTTAGATATCAAGTTTTCTTTTGCACCATTGCCACACACCTGCTCTTTCAGTAATGCCTTTGATTGCCAAGGATAGGGGTTGGCATATGGAGACCACAGAGGGTCTTTTAACTGACCGTAATGCTCGGGTTATTTTAGTTAGCTTTTTACTGAAGTCTGCCTGGAAAGAAGATCCCTCAAGGTCCAGCCAGTAGATCCACAAGTATTTTTGCCCATAGACTGTATACCTATCTTTGCTACATTCTCTTGAGGATACAGACAAAATAGAAAATGTTCCTCAAGGAGCTTACATTCTGATGGGCATGGTAAGATGGGCACATGGAGGAACAACAGACAGTGAAGAGTCTGCCCCTCCTTCAGAGGAGGAAGAAATCAAGGAAGCTTCCCAGTTTTTAGGCATGACTTAACTGACTTCAGATGAGACGCTGAGAGAGAGGCATGAAGTGTCTTCAGTGAAGGAAGAGATGGCATGGCAGGCAAGGGAATGACTTTGGGAGCAGACAAGGCAGGCTAGCCTGGTTGGGTGCATTGTTGTTGACACTGGGGCAGGGAGAACAGTGATCTAAGCCGGCTACCCAAATTCTAACCAAATGAGCTTTTCCTCAATTCCGCCCCTCAAAGGACAGGTGAACCTGAGAGAAGAGTGGAATTTTAGGAATCCTGAATGAAGTTTTAGCATGTTCTTCATCCACATTACTATGTGACTTAGATCTAACTGAAAGGCCTCAGATAAGAAAAAGACGAGGAAGTCATAGCTCTTTGTAAGAGAAAAGAAGTAACCCAGGCACTGTGCTGGGCCCTTTCACACATACCATCCTTCCATCCTCACAACAACCCTGTACGGTAACTAGTTTTATTATTGCAGTCTTACAAATCAGGAAAGCGAATTCAGAGAAGTTCTAAGTTGCTTGTTCAAGTTCACACAAAACTAGTTAAGTCCTGATTTGCACTAAATGACCTCTGGGATCCCTTCCAGATCAGACATCATGGGATTAGTGGCTCTGGACCCGTGTCAGCTCCACACTGGCAAACTGAGAATATTACGCTTCAGAGAAATATCCATGTTTTAGCCTTTTCCTTGATGAGTCTTCCCACCAGCTCTTTTAAAAGGATGCAGTCTGCACCAAAACTAAGCTACTTTTTCTCTTGCCAAACAACTAGCTTATTTTCAACTGCTGCCAACTTTTACAACAAGGACTCTAAATCAGACAGTATGTCAAGTCTTTCCCTGTCATCTCAAGGAGAGAAAACACACTACCTACTAAGGTGGTCTGGGAAGGGCCACCTTGGGTAGGGACATGCCTGAAATAGTCCACTGCTCCTTCTTTGCGAGTAGCACCCTGACCACCCTCCGCATCTTCCCCCGGCCTCCTCCCCCATTGCTGCCACAGTGTGCTGCCACAAAGCAACCAAGGGATCTTAAAAGATGTAAATCAGATCTTTCCAGCTCCTGCTTCGTACCCTTACTGCCTGCTGCAGTACAGATAGAACCTGCTTAGGCTGAGAGCTTCTCAGGTCTACCCCAGCCTACATTTCCTCTCTGCTGTCAGCTGTCCCCAGCTCACTGTACTCCTGCCACACTGGTTTCTTTCCATTTCATAAACCTCATTAGGCTGCTGCTACCATAGTGCTGGAATGCACTTCCCCCTCATCTTCACAAGGTGGGCTTCTTGTGATTCATGTCTTTGCTCACATATTCCCTCCTCAGAGAAGCATTTGCAGACTCCTGACCTGCAGTACTCATCACTGCTGATACCTACTCACACATTGTCTGCTGTATCCAAACAGAGACTAGTCTATCTTCTTGACTGGAACATTCTCAGTGTTTAGATTAGTACCTGTATACTGATGGCAATTCAGTAAGCTGTTGAATGAGTATATGGTCCATTATGCCTTAAGCTTGCCCTTTAGCCATTTGTTTTCTCTAATTTCTTTTTCCAGTTACTCCCATATTTAATTATCAAGATTTAATTTGTTTAGACCATCTAAAATCATTGCTTGAGAGAATCAACCATAATTTGTGGTTAGTTTATAACATTACCATGGCTGTATTCACTAACTGAAACAGGCATCCTAGTGTGGTGACTAAAGGTATAGACTTTGTTGCCAAGCTTCCTAGGTTCAAATCCTCTGTGAGATTTGCTGAATAGGGGACACTGTGGGCAGGTTGCTTAACCCTTCTGTGCCTCACCTGAGAAAAGGTGGATAGTAACAATGCCTACCTCATTGAGCCCTGAGGATTAAATGAGTTGGTAGATGTTCTAATACTTATGATAACATCTGGCACATGGTAAATGTTAAATAAAAATTAGCTCTTTTTGTTACTGATCTAAGAAGCAAAAAATACCATCATGTTGAGTTGGGAAGGGATTTGGGGAGATACAACGTTAATTGAGTACGTGCAACACATAATGTGATCTCTCATTTACCCTAAGAATATTGTCTTCATATTCTACAGAAAGAAACGTGTTTCAAAATGCTAAATAGTTCACATAGCCATTGAGTGGTTGAGACAGTATTTAAACTGAGATCTGACTTCAATGCTCATGTTCCTTCCATCACATTACACTGCATTTTTAAAGAAAACAATTTTCTGGAATTCTCTTGAAAATTACCAGTCGGTTAGGTTTGTGGGACTTGCTTTGAAACCAAAACCTCTTTTCTTTATTAATTTAGGATACCATAGCAGAATCCAATGAGGATTCCCTGGAGCTTAGTTTATTGAGTTATATTTTAAAATCTAGGATTCTATTTGACTAGAAAAATCGAACTAACACAGGAAAAAAAAGAAAAAAAAACTGGGATCCCTGGGT